ACATTAATGTTTAGTAACTCAGAATAACCTAGTCATCTTAATTGATATCAACATTGCTTTTATCTTCATTAGTGACACCTTGTGACAAAGCTGCCAATACCTTATATGCAAAATTTCCCAATTACTATGACAAAAGTGAATTTAGATCATTTCTTTCTCAGTTAATTAAAACTAGTTTGTTTGTTTGTTTGTTTGTTTGTTTATTGCATTTTTTTACCCTGCAAGAGTTTCAACAAGCAAACTGCACAGCTTATTTGGCAGTCTCAACGTTAAGGAGTGTGTGTTTTGCCATGCTGTAAACTAAATGCTTCTAAATAGTGGTTAATTTAGCTTTAAATCGAAACTTAAGATCCCCCAGAATAGCACACATGGGGAGCAGAGGGGAGATCATTCCATCTGGCAAGCAAAAATGCTTCAACTGATGGAAGAATCCTAATGCACAGGACTGAATTCCTCTTGTTGTTTTCAAGTTAGAGCTGAGCAAACCATTCTTAGTCCAACAAAATGGAATTTTCCCCCAGTCACAAACAACTATTAAAGCACATTCAAAACACTTTTCCCCTCAAAGAATTCTGGACACTGTAGTTTACTCCTCATAGAGTTCAATTCCCAGCAACCCTTAACAAACTACAGTGCCCATAATTCTTTGAGGAGGTGGGAATGTGCTTTAAAAGTATAGATGTCTAAAGATGGAAGAGATTTAGCATTAACTTTATTAATATTGATAAGAAGTTTCTACTTTTAACAGCTTGGTATGCAGTTTTGCCTGTAATGTTTCTCTTTTGGATTCATTTTTAAGTACACCAGAACTGCAAATCCTATTATTCAGTGGCAATTGTACATAAATTTTGTGCTTCAAAGACACTGATGGCGTTAACAGCCTTTTCATTAGAGGTGTGTATGTAAGGCAATGTAAACATAGTAATCATTGATGGGCAAGTGTAATATAATCCTTATAGAATTGTACGTAACAATTACTTTTCCTGCTCTTGCCATTTAAATTTCATGGATATGAGCTGCAGCTCAGTGGTAAAGCATATTATCGATAATAAGGAGCAGTTAGGCCAGTGGTCTGACTTGATAAAAAGCAGCTTCCTATGTTCCTACTTTTAAGGAATGGCCAATAGCTTAGGGCTTAGGCCTAATTCTTGCATTACCCAGGCCCAACAGTAGCCACAGAAAAAGTTCCATAGTTCTTTGTGGTTCTGTAGTAATAACCAGATGAGAAGCACTGATTTCAACATTATTTCTCCCTTTACTGCTGCTCAGTTAGCAGAACTGGGCTGGCAAGTAACCATGTGTTGATTGGATGTGCCAAACAGTATCTGGGTGATGTAGAATCAGATTACAAGAAAGCAGTTTTTCAGTGGATAATATGCTGCCCTGATAACTTAAACATTTGACCTTAGCTGCTGCGCCTTGCAATGCTGCAGGAATTTTGAGAAGTGAAAGGGTTTTAAACAAATGCTGCTGCTACCTGCAGGTGTCACTAGGTTAGACCATTTCCTTGGAAAAGAACAGGATCCTCTAGAATACAGCAGCTGTGACTCCTTACCTAATCACACACAGCTTTTAAAAGCTTCCTGTCAGCTATAGTTGCTACACCTGTCAGCTTTTTTCATATTCATAAGGTGAAACCTTTGCCCTTAGTAGGTTTCTTTGTGCGTATTTATGTTTATGTTTTTTGCCTTGTTCCTGTGACAGATTGCGCAAGATTCACACAAAATGCTTTTTAAAAATTTATTTCAGGGTTATCACAGGCCAAACCACTATATTGCTACACAAGGTAAGTTGATCCCACATTTATAAGTTTCTTGTATACTTGTGTATTGCTCTTTTATGTGGGAAATGCACTTGTGAAGGTTTTCACTTTTGCTTATGTTGTAATAAACAACTAATACTATAGTCAGTGCACCTGATTTCTTCAGATTAGCTCTCTGATCCCACAGCATCCCCCAATTTATGACAGAAGTGAAGAATCTTGAAAGAATCTGTGATGAACAGTACTGTATATATTTAATTTTAGGCACATTAAAAATGGCTGTGCAATGCCTGTCCAACTTCCTAGTTCTAATACTCCTGTACCTAAATCTGGCACAGTATACAGAGCATACTTTTTTTTTTTTAGTTGTGTACTCTGATGAGCATATACAATATATTATTTGTGGCTACTGTTATACTATACTAAACAAAATGATAATTCTACTCTGAACATGAGCTAGATGTATTGGTGCTCTAGGACTGTTGTTGAATTTTCAGGTTCTAAACACTAAAATGAACTAACTAAAGTAACCTAGAAAACATCACTTGCATGTTTTTCCCATTGTGGAAGTAATCTTTGGTGTAGATTGGGGAACTTCAGGTCTGGGGCAAGAAAGAAGTTCTGTAGGCCTCTCTTATCAGCCCCTGGGGTTCTCCCTAGACCATATGCCTCACCAGCCCTGCTGTGCACTCTCCTCGAGCGATTTTGCTTGGCTGGAATATCTCCTTGATTTGTGGTAATGGCTCTTTCTTGCCTGAATTGAGGATAAAGAGATGCGAGGACTATAGGAAATTCTGGCTGGCATGTAGCCCACTGTCAGAGGCGGCAGCCAGACCATGAGACGGGGAAGCATCCGCCTCAGGCAGCAAAAGTGCAAGAGGCGGCGCTTTGCCCACCCCGCCCCACCACACTTCTGCTGTTGGGAAGGGAGGTGTTCCAGTGTGCAGCGTTGGTGCTCATCTTCCCCACCCCCAGACAGAGAAGATGAGCAAGTGCCAATATTAATAATAATAATAATAATAATAATAATAATTTCTTATTTATACCCCGTCCATCTGGCTGGGCTTCCCCAGCCACTCTGGGTGGCTTCCAAAAAAATATTAAAATACTGTAATACATCAAACAGTGCTTTGATGAGTGCCTCAGCTCCCACTCAGTTTGACGGCAGCCGGGGTGTGCCAGCTTCGGAAGTGGGGCACAGCAGGAGGCAACAATTCCTGTTCCGCCTCAGGTGGCGAAATGGGATGGGCTGGCCCTGCCCACTGTACAAAAGTAGGAGTTGCAGCTATTGCTCCACCAACTTTCACTTCTGTTCTCACCCACTTTTGCCAAATCCCAGCACCAGCTTGCGCATCTATCTCTTTCGCCATGAATAAATATAGCTCTTAGACTTGGGGGGGGGGGGACGGACCCTTGGTGTAATTTTTTCCTCTACCTTGAGAAAACTGATTCCTAACATGTTGGGAAATTCTCACCTTTTTTTACTGATATTTTGGATATGGTTGCTATTTTAATGTTTCCTTATACTTCATTCAATGTGCAAAACCAACAAACAGCTTGGCTCCATAGAACAACTTTCTTCTACCTACCACAGAAAAATGAAGGAAGGACAGGTTGTTTTCCAAAGGAAGCCTATGGCTTTGTTTTGGTTTCTAAAATTTAGATACTCATGTTGCCCCTTACAAAACAGCTCTATACTGCCACCTAGTGACAATTTATTTTCATTGCAAGTATTCAACCACAGGGTATTTAAAGTGATAGCCAACTATTGGGGGGGGGGGTAGAGAGAGAGATGGTTCATGTTTAAACAAGGTTCTGCACTTTAATGCAGAGAAACCGGTAACAGATGAATGAATGAATTGTAGTCTCCTGTTTTGAGCCATATTTGCAAAGCATTATGCACTCTACGTGTGTGGCTTAGGGATGAGGTATAACTGGCCTGATAGAGGCCTGATAGACATGCCTGAATTGGAGAAAGATAAGAACATGAATGCCACCGTCTTGCCTTTTCCTCCATTATCTCCAGACATAAATTGGTGACTGAGGAAATTAGTTGACTCCTACACACTCATTTTGGGAGGAAACCTAAGGGTTGCATCCAACTAAATTAATTTCAGTAGACCCACTGAAATTAATGCACCCCAGTTAGTCATGCCCATCAATTTCAAGGAGTCTACTCTGAGTTGGACTAGCAATGGCTGCAACCCATACCTTTATTGAAAGCGAGAACATTTGACTAAAACATCTGAACAGACATTTGGGATATGTCCATTAAAATATTTCACAATCATTCTTTCAGTAACCTTTCTGATCCAACCCATTCCTATTTTCATGCATGTATTCCTTTGTACTATGCTCTTCAGGAAAAGGAAATCATTTGAGAAATTAGTTCAAATCCCTACAGAGTTGAGATTGCTATTTAATTGTCCTAGTGCTCTTCTTAAGCTCCATTCAACATATCAAGTGTTAATGAGCAAATATAATTGGATGCCACTAAATAGTGGCAAACATAATCGGTTTGCAGTCGGCTACCAATCTGGCTTTTCAACAAAGCTGGAGGGTTGCCTAATCACTTGTGTTTTAGTTTTTTTTACTGTTTTGGAATCTTCCAAATGAACAAGATTTAGCTTTACAGGGTTTGGCTTAGCAATGAGCTTACCTTTTGTGTCTTTCAAATCAGGTTGATTAGGAAACTGGTGTAAGGAGGACAAAAACTCTTTTACCTATTGTTGTATCAAGGGACCATTAAGCTATGTTTTAAGTGCAACATATTCTAAACCTGCAATTTGGGTTAGAAAATGAGCATCTAATTTTCTTCTATACAGTAGCTATAATAGGCTGAAATTGCCACTAATGAAGACTTCAGGTGATCTACAGTAATTGACAGAGACAGTCACAATAAGCACCTGGGTCATACTTGTAATAAGAAAACTATTGTCTTGATGTAATGGATCATGCATAAAGAACAGGCAGGCACAATTTTAAAAGGACTATTTGACATTTTCGAATTGAGAATATTTATTTAAAATCCCCTTTCAGCTAAAAGGTGGGCTGGTAGCTGTGTTTGATTCCACAGTGTGGGTCATCTTCCCCAAACTGATCCCCCCCAATATTTAGGTCTACACTGCCATCAGCCCCAGCCAGTATGGCCATGCTGAATGGGCCTGAAGGAGAGTTACAGTCCAAAACATCGGTAGAGCAGCAGGCTGGGGGGAATTGATGTAGACAGTGGAAGTAGACAGCTCGGTCGGTAAAGCACGAGACTCTTAATCTCAGGGTTGTGGGTTCAAGCCCCACATTGGGTGAAATGTTCCTGCATAGATGATCCTCATGTTCTCTTCCAACTCTACAATTCTATGATTCTATGAATGTTTCCATGCTTTTATCAGATAATTGTTGAAAAATTAAACAACATGCATAAATGCATGTTCTCTGAACTGGTCACTTGCTTACTACTAAGAAAAACTAAAACCTTCATTTTTTAAACAAAAATTAAAAATGCAAGTGCTAATTAGATAGAAAATATCTGCAGAGTAAAAAGTAACTGGAGAACAAAGAGCCAAATGGCAAACCCCAGTATGTTCACAGAAGACTGAAATTATTGAAATGTCCAGCAGAAATGTGTACATTCCACAGAAAAACTCAATTTGTATGTATGCAATGTTTGTGCATACTCATAAGTTGATTCCTGCGGTGCTTATCATATAACAAATTTGCCTGCATATCATACTTACCTGACATAAACAGTGTAACCAGTAAAAGTAATATTACAATTAGACATACAATTAGACACAGGAGCAGTAATTATATTTTATGTGCTTAAGGCTCAAGTTATCAAGGTATGGTTTAAATATATTAGGCCTAATAAAATATTTTAATTACTAATTCTAAATCAGCACCTGCAAACAGGCATTCTTATTCCTTCAGTTTGCCTCTAGCTGTAAAACAAACCATTTACTTTCTCACTTATATTGTGAATATAATTTTCTTCCTCAATGCAACAAACTTATCATGCTTCAACCATGGGAAAATCCTTTTGTGTCAGCCTTATAAGCCCCTAAAGATAAGCATTTATAACACAAGTGTTTACACAGTTTTGACTGTGGTAGCATAAATAGCAAAATCACAAAATACCAAGCAATCAGAATACAAATGGCACCTAGTGCATTTCCTGGCCCAGTTCAGAATGCCAGCTCTAACATTTACAACCTTATACATAATACATTCACTGTCCCCAAACAAGCCTATCCTGGCCTCAGTATCATTTCCAAATGCCCTCCTCAGAGTGCCCTTTCCATAGGAAGTGTGGAGGGTGGAAGCAATAGAAGGGGCCTTTTGGTGGTGGCACCTGTCGGTGGAATACATTCCCCAGGGAAGCTTGCCTGGCACCTTCTGCACTAAGTGAAGACATTCATTCATTTCACCTCCAGTCTTTTTAGTAAATGTTCTCCTTATTCTCCTGGAACAGAATATCTATGGGAAAGAAAATCCTGTTTTCTGTACATTCCTTTCTTCCTTGTTAATTAGATTCTACTTATGCTATGCAAATCACTGCTGTACCTAGTGTTGTAAGTGGTGCCCAGATCTTGCCTTCATCACAGTGGTAGAAGCTTATTGACTCTTTTTAAAAAAGTATCTGCCTCTCCTTCCATGTTCAATTGCTATTTAGATCAAGGCTTTGTAGAGATTACCTCTGCAGTTCCTAAATCTCATTTGAGCCCAAGTGTTTTCATTTAGTGCTTTTGGTGCAGATACATTTATCTAAGCAACACAATTAAAATGGTTCACTTCATTTACTTGGCACTGCAGCTGTATTGTAAAGCACAATTGATTAAAAAATTATAGACGTGTACAGTTCTTTTTGTGACTTGATTTCTGCTTGGATGAGGTGAAGACTGGAATCAGAGCTCCTTGCTATACGAGAAGAATGCAGTGTCATTTAAATATTGTTTGTTTGGAATTTTCCTGATATTGGTTGGAAATCATTCTTGCTAAGCTAATAAGGATGTGTGATTTTATTGTGCACTACCTAGTTTATACCCTTAAATATGACAGAATATTTGCCGTTCCATGACTTTGGGACGTCATCAGTAAACAGTAGAAGTCAGGCTGATGTGAAGTATCAAGTGGATCAAAGCCCTTAAGAATTAAATGAAAAGTTGTTGTTCATGTACAATTTCATTTTTCTTTTATGATATGTGGCACATCTCAAACCTGAAGAATTATTATTATTTTGGTTAACTTAATAGTCAGTATGTTTTTCTTTCATTTATTACCGCTCTAGTGTGCACAAAATTATCTTATAGGCTATCTTGTTTGGCAGATGAAACTCATTCAAGATTAGTACAAGGCAAAGCTGTAATACAGGTCAAGCAATAGGAGCACTTACACCAACCATTCCAGAGTCACTTCATTTTGCAGGACAGAGTATGTAAAAATATGTAAGAAAAGTACAAAGTGACCCGTTCTGATGTGGATGGAACTCAACAAGAGGAGGTGGAACTAAGAGTTAGGAACTGTTGTTACAAACTCAAATGGTTCCACAGATTTGGTGGATGTTATTCAACAGAATATATGGGCTTTTTTGTAAAAGATTTTTTTGCCGTTTAGTTTCATTAAGAAATCACTTTAGAACTTTATTCTACTATTCTAGCTATTTTTTATTTTATGTATCTCAGTTACTATATCGAGAATTTAAAATCCCAAATACTCTGAAAGAAAAATAATGTATACACAGTTCTTATGGGTAATTAGCCAATCAGATCACTGGGCTGGCAGAAAATTAGTAATCCTGTAATTTTGCATTTAAATTGAGCCACATGCTGTGGGAACTCTCCTTAGAGATTTGTCTATTAACAGTTGTGGTGCTCCATAAGGTTACATTAAGGAGAACAGCATTCCTAAACTTTTAATTAAATTACTCAGATTCTGTTATTTTGGTTACTGTCTCAACTATGTTTGTGTTCTAACAAAGTCAAATGACATTTGAAATTTGGCTGCTCCTTTGTTTTCTTTGCATTGGATTGATGCAAAGCTTTATGCTGGTATCATAAGCTTTCCTAACTTTTGACAGTGCTGATATCATCTCAGAACAAAGTATTGTACCAGTGATTATTATTCCCTGCCAAAGTCAGTGGTCACATCCACATCATATATTAAAATCATATTAGGTGGTTTTCAACTAAGTTTTACGCAGAGTGGATCCATTAAAATTATTAGACCTAATTTAGAAACGGCATGGTGCAACTGCAGCAGTACAACCGGGTGCCTTTATCTGCCCCATCAGCAACACAACTTGTCTCTCCCACTTTGGTCTCTACAGCCGCAGCAGGTTCTGCAAGAATCCAATAGCTTGACTTCACTCCCAAAGGCACACTCCTCCATTGTCTCCCAGAAAAGATGGGTGCCAACAATTTAGTAATGTTCATTAATTTCAGTGCCTGGCAACTATAGTTTACCCCTCCCAGGGAGCTAAAGTTCCGAGCACCCTTAACAAACTACAGTTTCCATGATTCTTTAAGGGAAGCTATGTGCTTTGAATGGATGGTGTGGATGTGACTGTTTCAGTTTCCACTTGTAGGGGCCATCCACACATCTGTTTGTCCCGTGATTTCAAGTCATGAATCTGAGAGGGGTTTTGTTGTTTGTTTTTTGTCCTGCCACTTTCCCTGGGAAAACCCAGTCTACTGCTTAATCAGAACAAATGTCAATCCGCAGGAACCTCTCAAGGACTTCCTGCCATCTAACTCTGGATTGTTCTTCCATATCTCAAGCTCTCTACTATCCCTCTTTTCCTTCAGATTTTTCAGTTCTTTCTCATACCTACAGGACACATTTTTCTCCTGGTCCATTTCTCCAATATATTTCTATCTCTTCATCTCTTTTGTATGGACAGAAAGATTGAGAGCTACAAACAAAAGTGTGTGTGTGTGTGTGTGAGAGAGAGAGAGAGAGAGAGGGAGAGAGAGTTAGTGAGAGAGAGAATTTATTTCCCCGAGGTGTTGCCAATGTTCTCCTTGAGCATTCCAGAGACCAACTGGAAACATGTAAAGATGCTTATCTAGATGAACCTTAGAAGAGAAAAGTCATAGGAAACCTTTTCTCCAGAAAAATTACCTCTTGAATTGCAACTAACAAGGGTTACATTATGGGGGAATTTAAGCCAAAGCCCAACTCCACATACTCTAGTAAAACCTGGTAGGAAAAGAACCACTGTTTGCAAGGGAAGTCAAAATTAGGGAGGTAATTGTGCTGATTGGTTTAGGGAAATTATTATCTTTGTAAAATACTAAAGCTTGACTTCTTTTGAGATACTGAAATGTTTATTTTAATCAGCTACTACAGCAATTAATCAGTTAAATGTAACAAGGTAAATTTGCTGAAAATATATTAAGTCGACAGCTCTAACTATTACAAAGTATGGCATATGTGGGGCATTAAATTCACTTAATAATTACTGGGGATTGTGCAGTTTGAATAAATACTTACCCATTTCTTACTAGCTTCTCCTTGTTTTTAGTAGCGTCGCAGTAGCAAAAGAGAGACTATTTTATATCATTTCCTCATGGTAGAGAGTATTTATAGCAGCCATTATATTATATGCTAGTAGATTATGTCATTGGATTCATAGCAAGAAAATGCTGAACTTTCCCGTAAGGGGAATGAGAATAAGCTGAACCACACAAAGCCCTGCTGCAAAGCAGGTTCTGTTTATTTTTGAGGTGGTTACTTGCACAGACTCTTGGTACATGCGCCTTGAAATTAATCAGGGCTGCACAGCAGCAGTTCTTAGTGGACTGTGCTCTGTGTCAACCTCTGTAAACTTGGCTCCTATAGTGATTACAGTGTTGCTTCCTACCCCAAATCTCTGAAATCGAATTGTTCAGCTCCTGATGACAATAAATCCTGTGCCCCTACCTGCCCTTTAATGCTTTTCAATTCTGTGTGGAGACATGACAGAGTAATAATTTATTCAGATGTCAGAAAATAATTTGAAAAGTGTCAAGTAGAAAAGAAAAATAGGATAGAAGAGAATTACTTTCAAAGACATGCAGCTAGCCTCTTTCCCTCCCATCAATGTCCTGAGTCCAGAATAATTTTGGTGGCTCTCTGGCATATAAGAAAGCAGGTAAAATGGATAGATAACAAATTCTCTATTAAATTCCTACTCCCTGGGGTTATTTTAATTACCATTGTCTTGCTATAGCAGGTAGAACGGAAGCAGGGACACAGCTGACATTCCAAAGGAGAGCATTTCTCTTATCACTCATTCCTAGAGGATTGTGGTACAAACCTCACATCTGCA